CTTTCTCTCAGCTGCTCTGTAGAGTAAATAGTCAAAATCCTTCACTGAACAGTTTTTTCGCTAAGTAAATCTTAAGAGTCCGGTTTCTTTTTTCCCGTAATAGCAAAGTGGGTTTTCCTCTCAGTAGGCTGGACTGCCTCTCCCCACCCAGGAATATGCATGCCAGGGAACGGGTGAGTGGCCAGTTCCAGTCCTGCATGATACCTCTCACATCACAGGTAGTTGCAGGGACACACTTTCATTTCACAGAGCATTTCCAGCTCCCCTGGTGGGCAGAAAACCCATCTCTTGGTCCACAGTCTGTAGCAGACAGGGTGAGTGTCTAGGACGTGAGAGGACAAGAGGAAATGGCTTCAAATTGCGCCAGGGGAGGTTTAGATTAGGTATTAGGAAAAATTTCTTTACAGGGAGAGTGGTCAAGCATTGGAACAGGCTGCGCAGGGAGGTGGTGGAGTGACCATCACTGGAAGTGTTCAAGAAATGTGTGGATGTGGCACTTCAGGACATGGTTTAGTGGGCATGATGGTGTTGGGTTAACGGTTGGTCTTGATGATGTTGGTCTTTTCCAACCTCAATGATTCTGTGATTCTGCATGATTCTGAGTGACACGGACCTGTTGGCACCTGTAGACAAGCCAAAAACAAAACCAGAATCGATAGTGGAAAGAAATTGACTCTTGGGACAAACTCATGGACACATTTATATATGAAGTAACCGAGCAGAACACATGAAAATAAAGGTTAAGGGGAAGCAGTCCAAAAAATGTAAGGGGTAGAGTTGTATATAATCAACGTTTGCATTGTAGGCTAATTTTTTTACTCTAGGATTTGATTCAGCCACTAGCATCACAAGTCACTGAGTTTCCCATAAAAACTAGATCTGGATATAGACCTAGGGGAAACCTTGAATTTCCGCTTTAATGTAAATTTGGTTACTTTGACATCTTTTTGTTTTAATTCAGGATGAAAGTATATTTTTAAGAATTTCATATTTAAAAATGCTTGTATTTTTTCTATCTTATTTAATGATTGGACACTTATAATAGTGCATAAACTGCTAATATGGCATAATATTTAAATGGATAATTTCCATAATCAATAAGAATGTCTTCTACTTACTGTTCATTGAACTATCTATTGGTTTGTATTCAAAGTGTTTACACTGTCATAGCAGTCCCAGAAGGAGAAACCGATTCAAGCGTCAAACTCTTTCAGTATGGCAAAAACCAGAACTCTCAAAAAGAGAACTTGTTCCCATTGGAAATTAAAACATAAAGAGTAAAGTGAAATATTTCAAGCATTATACTGAACACTCTTACTGACATTGTGTAAAACATATTAACAATAATATAAAAATCTAATCCCTTCATGGGTCAAAATAAAGCTTCAGAAATCAGAAATTAAATTTTGAAAAATTCCAAAAGGAAACATCTTGAAAAACGTCTACTTCAGAACTTCATTGTCCATTCTAAACCTTCATCATATTTTACAATAAAAATTGTTTTAATTTCGTCTTATTTCACTTTTCATCAAAAACTGTAGCAAAAGAAGTCCAACCAGCTGTTATTTTGTAATGCATATTTGAACTGGCATTTCCTGAGCTTATGAAAAATGAGGCAGTCCATTTTACTTATATGAATAAGGATGCTCTGTATCCCGTGTATAAATGTTAATTTTTTACAGTTCTTCTCTGTGTTATATATATATAAAATAAGACAGTTTGAAACTCACAGGCGGGGAGAAGTTCTGCGGCTAACCTGCAACCTGTCACAAAACCGTATTTTCAGGGATAATCCTGTCAGCTGTCAGGGCACAGCGAGGACCAGCTGGTCCACGAGGGATGGCGAACCAGGAGCCGAGCAGGGTAACAAGGTAGATGGGAGCAGCACCTTCCACCAAGGATGCAGAGTGGCAAATCCGGGGGGCAATCGGGGTCAGACATCGCCCCGGGCTCTCCCGGGACGTCCACAGCGACGCGGGGCTCTCACCGGCACCGGAGCTCCCCTGGGACTCAGCCCGCTAAATGCGTTAACTTCGCCAAGGCACCTCCCCGAAGGGGGATGCACGTCTGGCCCTGATACAACAACGCAGCCTTAGCAGCTAAAGGTGCGGGATATAACGAAATACGCATTTTATGTGAAGAAGTCATTCAAGAGCATGAGTGGGTGACTATATAAAACAAAACCTGTTACTGTTGCCTTCTTAAAATGCGCCAGCGTGCCCCTTAATTAAGAATAAAATAAATCAGGGCTATGGCGAAATATTTATGAGGAAAAATCATCCATCAAAAGTAAAGCATGTAAGAACAGTCTGGGAAATCCCAGTGCATGCTTGCTAGACAGACGTGTTCCAAAGGCTTCCCCAGAGCCACACAAAATGAGTAATGATATTACAATGTGAGTTTTAATGCACATGGAAAATATCCCAAATAAAACTGACTTATAATTTGACTTTTTTTCCTAAAACAATAGCTCCAAATTCCACTGGGAATAATGGAAATCTTACCATGCACGTTGGCAGGCTTCATGCAGGCTGAGCACTACATGCAACATTGATTTCTGCCTCCAGAAAGGGTCCACCTATGGGAGTCAGCAACTGGAGGGTGAAAGAAATGATGAAGGGCTCATTCATTTCCAATCCCTCCATCATTTCTTGCCCAGTTCCTCACAGGGGTAAGTGCCAGATGTGCAGTCTTTGCTCCTTGCAGGACAGCTAGAGACCTTACACACTAGCCTTGTTTCCTTTGCCCAATTGGGGAAATAAGGACTGTTGCAGCCAATGTACAGGGCTCTGACAATACAACTCATTTCCTTTCTACCTTGTGTATCAAGAGCTGCAAAAATACGTCCTGAAGAACACGAAAACTGGGGTAAATAAATGCTTTTTCTATTGCCTTTATTTTTTATCTTAAATTTTAATAGAAATTGAGGCTGCTTAAATGTTCTACACATCAAGGCAATCTTTATGAACATGGTGTAACTTCCAGCTAAAATAGGAGCATTTGGCATCTGCAAAAGCTTCCCACCTCCTCAAAAGGCCTCTTTTCATGTTTCTGAGGAAATTGAACTTTACAACAGAGACTTTCAAAACCTGGGTGCAAAATAAAGTTAGCAACGTCAGCCCATACATAATGAGGGAGATCCACATACCTGTAACTTGGGTTTGGACTCTTTTAATATAGCTACGATGATTTGACAAAAGTATGTTGGAGATTTAAACAGTTTCTGAGGATTTCTACAGCAGGCAGGAAACATTATGATACTCAAAAAGAGCTATTCTAAACAAACAAATTGCTCCACAGGAATTGTTAGCTCCCTGCAAATTCTGTGAAGAGTTTTTGATTAGTGTAGAACCATATTCACATTATTTAATAGATTCCAATATACAGGTGGAAGAACACCTAACATATAGGCATCATACCTACCTTTATCAGAAAGAAAGTAAAGCAATCAAAGGACCATTCGTTTCTTAGACTGATTGCTCTGGAGCTGGGCTGATATTCAAATACTATAGGAATTTGCTACTTATCTTCAAAATTAATAGCAAACATATATATATAATGGATTCAAATTCACAGAGTAAATATAGCAAGCAAAGTGGTTTGTTATCTTAGGCATATAATAAGAACATTGTATCAAATATTGTCAAACTCTGCGGATATGAACAGAATTGTATGGTTATTGATTGTTTATATACCACGGCACTGTAGAGTTGATATGAGTTGGTCTTGCCTTGCTGCAGGGAAATCTCTGGGACCACATGCCGCATCCACTGTGGATATCCTGTAGACCAATCTCCCACAGTGATCAGATACCTATTTTGATTCCTATGTTATAAAAAGGATTATTTCTCTTTACAAATCATCTTAAAACACTGTGCAAGGTATTCCTGAAAAAAACACAGTCAGAGATTTTGCAGCCATCTTTCGATGCCTAACAGCAAGATCAGATGTCATGCAAATTAAAAAATTAATCCAAAGTAATTAATCATTTCCTTTGTAGAATTATGTTGTTGGTTTTTTTAAATATACATCACATTTTCCATCACATGCAATTTTAAATTGGGAACATAAATTATTTGTGCAACATTACTTATTACTGCTATATACATAATCTGGAAAATTTTGGAAACTTTAATTGCTTTTCAGGGGGACATCCTTACAATCTGAGTGAAGATATAAGCTGTTTTTCTACCAAAAGGAACTACTAGCTAAACTGTTTTTATGAGATACATTGTCTGTTTACAAATTAAACAAATTAAATTGTGGAGGGCTGGTAGTTTGTATGTTTTGTAACAAGATGCACCACGAAAACCAAAATCTTACTTGTAACTTTAGCCAACCCCAAAACACCCATCTTGGCTGGGATCCCTCTTTCAGTACTAAATTATAAGAATTTTGTCCTCCCTCAGCACTAAAACTTGGTTTACTTGAGTGTCTTCTTGTCATGTATCTGTGAACAGTTTAATAAAGAAACTTTACAAAATTGGTAAGACTCCTGATTTGTTGGTTTGTTTTGGCTGTTTTTTAAAAAAAGTTGTAACACCTTCACATCCAAAAAACTTACAGTAATATTTGTACTTATTAACTGGAGTATACAAAATATTTGTCTTGTTGCTGAAATATCCCTGTAGCACTACAAGCAATTAACATTTATAACTACAAATTTTGCTAAGATAAAAGAATATTAGGAATCTACTTCTTCAGAAATAATCATTCTAACAACTAGAGGCCAAATTTTGCCTTCCCTTACAGTCATGCAATTGCATTTGTTAACTGTTGTGAGGGCAGAATTTAGCCCCAAACCACAACTTTATCTAAATACATATATTTTCCTACAGAAAAACCAAACTATGTCTTATCACTGGTCTTCCCTTCTGAAGGGTAAATACTGATATTTGAAATACCTAAATCATATTTACAGCTGTACAACACTGATGCCACATACTTGTGAAATATCACTCATACTCTATAAACATGGGGTAACTTGTGCAATCGGCTTTAAAACTTTTCTTAAAAAAAAGAAAGAGCAGGCAAGCTTAGACATTTTCTTTGTCAAATTCACACACAAAATACATGGTAATATGACATGCAACATCATTCCACCCTCCAGATGCCACCATCTCCACACAGTCCTCCTCATCATACGCATTGTTGGGCTCCCCACTGCGCCATTTGTTGAAGGTCTGCATGGGCGATCGGTCAGAATAGACAAAATTTCCCTCTTTCTCTAGGTCGTTAATCCCAATGAAAACTCTGGTGAGCCCGGCTTGGTTGATGTACGAGGCGATCAGGTTGTTGGCAGTCTCATCCTTGGGCATGCTCAGCGTCCCTCCTCTTCCGTGGCAGTAGAGCTGGGCTTCCTTGTATCTTTTCTCTTCCTTCACCAGCAGATATATCTTATTATCTGTCTCACGCACACCAGCAACAGCTGCGGGGGAGGGCAGTGCTGAAAAGTGAGCACTCGCATTTCTATAAACCAACTTACTGTACACCCCAAAATAGCTTCACAAATCAGATGCGGGACGGTGACACTCTCTATGAGCAATTGCACCGGTAAAATGAGGCAACAAGAAGGAAAATATTTATATAAAATGAACCTACCATTTTTTATGAATTTTAGTTCCGTTGTCAGCTGGGCCACTTGGATATCCATTTCACCAATAGCTTTCCTTAGCTGGCTGCACTCACAGGGGATGCCTGTGACATGACACAGATATACCGAAATCAAAAAGCTATCTGATTTCAATAATTACCTGAACAATGTTATGAAAAGGCCGTGGAGAGGGTTGTCTTGCAAATAACAGACAGAAACCTAGAGCCTTCACTACCCTGCACCATCATGTGGTTCTCATGGGTGTCTGGGCCTATCCAGAAGAGCTCAGTTCACTTTCCATGAAGCTTCAGCCCTGCATGATTAGTGCTAATCTAAACACAGCCAGATAACCCCTTCAAAAAAAATACAGAATTATTTTTTTTACTAAAAATATTTGCCAGAATTTCCCATTTTGCATAAAATTATTCTCTTCAGCCTTCTCCAAAGAGCACAGCAAAAATTTGCACAGCACATTGTTTGCCTGATCCTCACAAGGAATATAACACAGCAGATCCAAAAGGTTAACGTAACGCACATAATTACCTGCGAAACGTAGTTCTGTGCTTTCAAAAGTACAGAATTTGCGTTACTACTTCCAATAAAATAAGACAATTGAAAATCTTCTATTAACCCAAATTGATATTGGTTTGACAAAGATAATCTGAATGAGAATACTAAAAGAATAATTGTTACATCTATGAGCTCAAATCTCAAAACGAGGATCAGTTACAACTTCCAGTTCCGGGTGTAATTATTCAAATCTGCATTTGACTATCCAATTACTCAGCTTAGGTGGCCAAGTCAGTCTAAGCACAGGGTACTTACACTGCAAAACTGTGCTTGATGACTAGGTATACAGCACTCTGGCTCAAGAATTAGAGTGACAAATGAGTTAGAGTTCTCATGAGAAAACTAATTGGTGCACCTCTAGTGGACCCTGCCAGGAAGGGATGAATTGGGTAATATCTGAATCTGCCACTTTTATAAGGCTTATACTTCTTATGCCAGGCTTTCAGCTTTTTCTCTGGAAGATCTGTATTCCTGGTAATCTCCTGCTCCTATAACAATAATCCATGGAGGGGGCAGGAGCTTCCAGCCTGCTCCTTTGTGTTGGCTGGAAGCCAGAGTGGGATATGCAGGGATGGCCCTTTGCACTGGTGATGAATGATACGGACAGCTGCCCTTCAGTTTCCACTAGTCTTATGGAGTGATCACACCTCTGAGGGACTCTGAGACGTTGTTTTGACAAATACACTGCAAGTCCAGCAACTACTGCAGATTCAATAATTTTAACTAATTTGAAAATATTACAGTGAAATATCACAGCGCCCATACAAATATTTAATTTTTCATTATTTCCCCCAGTATGTAAACAGACATGTATTTTTGGTGACGATGCACGCATCTTGCTTTTGCATACACAAGGTGTGTCATGGATTACCTGGGTCACCATTAGGACCTGGTGGTCCTATGTCACCATTATCTCCTTTTTCACCTAAAGACATGAAAAAGAATATAAATTTCAGACAGCTTTTTTTGGTCGACAGTTCATTTCGCACTTGTTTATTTTTCCCCTAGTAGCATTCAAATGTGAAAAAAAGAAAAATGCCCAAGGAAAAATAAAGGTTTTTCTCTCCTAGTCATGCGACAACAAATGCCAGCCAAAGCTATGAAACTTGAACACAAAGAATATGTACCAATATCCCTTTTTTGACATTCATGAACTTCACAGAACCAAGAAGTTCAGATGCTGTACAGGGAAAAGGGCTAGATATGCTACAATATTGTCTAAATCTAGATTCATAATCTAAATTCTTAAGTAAACATTGGTCCAAGTGACTTAACCAAAGTCATATAGGAAGCCTATGGGGCAGACAAGATTAGAATTCAAGTCTTCCAGCTCTTAAAAGTGCCAAAATACAGTGCATCCTCCCATCTGCTTCTCTTAACTGTCCACACTTGTGTGATGGTGCACAAAGTTTCATTATTTAGCCTTAAACCAGGATTCTCACCCTGCTTTAAGGCTAAATATACTGCTGTTTGAGTGAAAGGTAACAGGCTGAGAGATCTCAGTCATATGGTTGACTACATTGTGAGAAACTCCCTATTATGGTAAACTCTGAGACTTGTTAACCATTTTTCAAGCCCCTAAACTTTTTTCAAACATAAATGATCACAGGTTTTTCATCTGAAATACAAATGGGGAAACAAGTGAACTAAGCATACCTTTTGAACCAATAGGACCAATTTTTCCATGCCGTCCCATGCTGCCTTTCTGTCCTTTGTCCCCCATTTCTCCTATACGTAACAGAAAGACAAAAGACACAAGGTAGCAATGTAGTCTGATTCGTTCAGATTCTAGCATGCTTGCAATATCAGTTTTTACAAAGAGCAAACCCACGCTATATCCCCAATATTCATTGAACTCCAGAGGTCCAGCTCACTCCTTGTGAAGAACTGGAAAAGCTTTTTCAAACTTCTCTCAGATGATCGTGCCACAATTATATTGAAAATAAGGGGGGATTGCATTCAAACATGGATCAATGGATTAAAACTATCATGGAGTTGAGAAGACCTAAAGGATCCAAGCACAACTGACAGTTTCATTTAATACAGTAGTTCCACTGTAACTGAGGGCTGAATTTGTGCTTAATGGCTTATTTATACAATATAAACACTTGGAAGCCATCACATGCTCATTGTTTGCTCTTTATTACATTAATTAATTAAAAATAGGTTACATTAATGAAAAATGAAAATTACTGGAAAACTTACATATATACATATATACACAAACACATGCAAATGTTCATACAAAGTCTGACTCAAAGCAGCAATGTTGAATGTTACTAATTTTGAAGACAGTTCTACAGAATATTTCAAAGTGCAGTTGTAGCAAAGGACCTGCTAAGAACTAATTTTCCTCAGTTGTGTTTTTACAAATAAAAGGCAACTATCCACCTCTGACGGTCAATTGAAATTGTCAACAAATCTGCATGAACCAGCCACTGTCACCTATCTGTGTCCATTGGGCATACCCAGAAATCTAAGATAAGACAGTTGATTGACTTTGTCTGACTTTGATCTCTTTTCTATCAGATGTACTTTCCTGTGTGACGTAAAGTGACTATTAGAATGGCTTTAGGGGAAACAGAATTTGCACTGGAACAGGCAGTTCTTTGCCATCACTTTCTTCACAAACCAAACAGAAGCACTGTTACTAATAAAGTGTGTGCCACAGTCCAAGTATTGATGTCATTGATCTGAGCTCCTCCAGAGCGCAGATAACAAAACAGATAAAACGTGCCTGGTATGTCATATGGTTTTTCTGGATAGCATTTCTCAAACGTTATGAAAAATAATTATCTTAATGGTGTGAATCTGAGAGAAGAACTTTAGCCTGTAATAGCAAAGCATTATTCAACCCCATGCCTACAGAGTTCATCTACAAGTTTAGGGGATCAGCAGTTGAAATTAATAAGCACTAGTCACTTAATAGAGTAAATACAGCAGGCTTACACACGACTGAATGTTTTGGCTTAAACCAAGCTGTTTATAGTCAATAAACTCTACATAGCCTAAGCTTGTCAGATTATTATTTCTAAATGATTCTTTGGTTCTGGCATTGGTTTAGAGAGGATTCCCCAATCTCCTTTAGGTAGACTTTCTGAGATCTATGAAATGAGACCTGTCATTTTGTTACACTCACTATGTACTGAATGTGGCAGTTTGCCTCATGCTGCAGTTCCTATTGCCCGAGGAGCCTTAGAAAATAATACCGTGTCTCAGTGTACATTGGTGATAGCCCTTCTGGGTGCAACGTCTAAGCAAATCAATGCTCTGCCATCAGATTTAGGCCTCTTTGTATCACGATTTCAAGGAGAAACATGGTCTGGAGGCAGCACAGCTGTACAGCTATGTCATACGAGATGGGTTTCCCACTGTACCTCACAGTATTAATGGACAACGGGTATGGAGGGACTACAGGGACAAGAAGCCAAATGCCTTCTGAGGCTCCCATCCTGCAGAAACCCAAGACCGAGATTGCTTTAGGAAATATTGATGCAGATTTTTCAATGATTGTTGAAAAGACTGTTTCTTTGCTCAAAGAAACATCTGTTATGCACTGTTCAGCTACACAGGAGCATGGAATCAATGAGACAACTTAGGCGGAAAATCTACCACAGGGATCCAGCAACTGAACTTGTGTAAATTGTCACAGCTCAGCCTCAGTTGTGGATCTATGACAACTGAAAATCTGTTGCCCTCTGTTGTTACTGCAATTGGACAGACAGTCACATATTTTATCTATATATTTTTAAAAGCTGGATAATTTTATGACCAATTTCATCATTAGCTTTAACTTAAAAGTGTAATCAGCAACAAGTTTCAAAATATAAACTGATCACCACTGGACTAAGAGATGTCCTCTGTATTACTCCACAAAGTTCTCAAGCAAATGTCATTTCATGGCAGGAGTCAGGAAGAAATTATTTCCTCTGAACTGAGAGAAGCCGTATGTGCATGGTTTGTTGGTCTAATTAATTACTGGCAAGTCCTACAATCAATGATTCTCCTTTGTTTCCAAGAAGGATCAAAATCAGTCACTACTGGACATGAACTCAATTAGGAAATTTCACCAGAAACCAAAAATATTTTTCTCCTATGCTACATACTCCTACTGGACAAATGGAAGTAATCCACTCAGCCAGCTGAAGATCTACTTTCTGGAATATAGCTTCACTTTCAGAACAGATTCATAGCTTACCTTAAAGATGCAATCTGTTGGGCTGTGCAGGTTATAAAGGTACTGATGCTACCATTGGATATTTATCCAATATAGATAGTATATTGAGAGCGCATTTCCTTGAAAATGTCTAAAGTATCAGCTTTGTAATGAATTTATCAGGTTGCTCTGAAAGTGACCTTTCTTGCTTTGATATTTATGAATTGGGATTACCATAACAGATTGTCAGATGTTTGAATGCTTTCAGTTTTTAGGCTGCTACACCTGAAATTAAACACACACATAGATCTAATGCATAAATAAAATATCATATATAAAACGACTTCACTTTCTTTTTCATAAATACTGGCAAGAAAACGAACTACTTCTCGGTAATAGCCAGTAAAAGCTACATGATCTGCTCAGAAGTAAGTGTGTTATTTCAAACAATGAAGACATACATTAAGTCTCCTGTGCTCATTAAAAGAACTGTTTGGATTTGGTTTTCTCTTAGAGTGACTAACCTCTGCTTCTACTCCAGAGACTTGCTTATTCTGCTTCTTCCGCAGAATAAATCACAAGATTTCAAGAGAGACCCATCTGCCTTGAGGGTTTCAAAGTTTTAATACCTTTTGTAAAGTCCTCCTTAGTGGCCCTATGATTGCCAAAAATGTAGTCTAAAGAGTCTTAATGAAATCAGGAAGTGAGAGCTGGAAAGAAATGAGAACAATGAAAGAAATTAAGTGTCCATAGACAAAAAGTAGGAAATCACAGAAAGCTTGAATGGAGAATATTGAAGCAAGTCATCTGTCATCTCTCAGATGAAGGTGGTATACACTGGAACCAATTATAGAAGACTTAAAGGATTTTGGAAGCAACTGAAGAGAAGGAAACTCTAAATGATCTTTGTGGTGGCCTTTTCAGGCCCACAAACAAGAGAAAAAATAAAATACCAGAGATGAATGGTGGGCTGCACAACCAGTGAAAAAATGAGGACTTTGGCTCTGTGCAACACTACAAATGGAGGTCTTCACGCAGTATGGCAAATCTCTTCAGACAGGACTAATTGGAACAGACAAGAAGGTATAAAACTACTTTAAAAAAAAGAAAAAAGTATCAAAAAGACAAATCCAGCAGAAACACAAATTCACCATGTCACAGACAAATTGAATTGAATCGTGTCAAAGGGAAGAGAACAGTAGTTTTCTTCCCAAACTTAAGGATTTGAAGACAAATGAGATGACAGATAGATAGAAATTCTTCAAGATTTGACATAGTGGACATCATGGACACCTACTTAACAACAAAAGTAGAATGTACCAAACCAGACCAAAGGCCTCTTGACTCTAGTGCCATCTTCAACAGCAATCTGCAGAGGATACTTAGAAAATGTAAGACACAGACCAAACTTACAATGTCTTTCCCCTGGTGTACGTCCTTAGTCTTGCAGCAGTCAGTATGTTTATCTTATGTGCAAATGTTTATCTTGACTTGAATGAGAACAGCATTTTTAAAGGATATAATGATGTCATGGTATGGTAGTAATCTACATTCAGGACACTTAACTTTTTTAAACTATTGGCAACTGGAAATCAGAAACACAACAATACACCAATAGACTACGGTACTGCTTTATGCTGAACAATTTGAATTATCCACACCACTGAAGGTTGGTGATTGGCTGGGAACAGTGGTTACAACACAGTTACATCTTACATGAACGAACAGTGGATAATCCCAGGTAGCATTTTACGTAGTTGGGGCAAACTAATTTCACCCAGCATTAGCCACCTGAAAGTTGGGGTTTTGGTCTAAGCTGTTTATCTAAGCTCCCTTGGTAGGCAATGAAGAAATAAACACCTCTCAGCAGTGACCCATCCCACTCATGTTAGACAGGTATCTTAATGACAAAGTGAAACTTTAAAAGATTTGCATAAAATATGGGGGGGAGGAAACTATTACCAACCCATACTGACTAGAAATCAGAAAGGCTAGAAAATTTGCAAAGGAAACTGAAGATGCTAAGAAAAAATCCAGTCTTTGAAGGCAGCAGAAAAGTTTAAAGAATTTTAAAGTACTTTCAAAACAAAAGAAATGGAAATAGTATGGTCCATTCCTGAATGGGGGAGTTTATGTTTAGATGCACACGAACACAAATATCTGCCCTTATGAAACACACATCTTGCCAGAATTACATTAACAACGTAATACCAAGCTTGTATACCAGTGGTCCCTCTAGCCTGACTTTGCATCCCACAGCAGCAGTGGCAGCAGAAGGTGCAATACAGGGAGGTCTCGCAACCCCAGCCACTATCTGCAGTCCATTGCAGATGGAGTTGCTGAATCACTCCCCCAGCAGTTTCAGCGAGTGCCTCCTAGTTCAGCTATGAAGGGATCTGGTGATTCTGTAACCTCGATTATATCCTCCTCAGACTACTCTGTGCAAATGCAAGAGTCTCAACCTGTCCAGTTTCTCCTTCTGAGGCAGATCCTCCATCTTCCTCACATTTCTGGTGCCCCTCTCTAACCTCTCATGTTCTGGACAGAGTCCAGAACCACACTTAGAATCA